CGAACAGGCAGACAAATCATCACACCAACCAACATGGCACCTTAGAAGTCTGGGAGAATTAGATAGATCAGAATGTTTATCGGTAAAATGATGTTTTTTTCTCAGACAAGAGAGGAACACGATTTCAGTTTTGAGAGTGGATTTCTGGGTGTAGGTGTGTGCCAGTGAACACGACTGGCAGATGAAGTGTTGTTGTCAGCTGCAGGGAGAAACAGTACTAAGGATCTATCCAAACAGATGAGAATGTGGATAGATATGCACACACGCAAAAAGAATAGCGGGAAAGAAGTCTATCGACAGTATCTCAGACATACCGGTCCTCTAGGAAGTGAGAGACAAAATAAATGTTGAGTAGGCCAACAAGCAGCCATCGGTTGAACGAACCGGCTATAAATGACCACACAACTGCACAAACGATGCTACTCTAACTAAGCAAACAGTATGAGAGTGTCACATCCTGGTTCTCTCATTTATACACCATTTTCTATTGCATGTTATACAAATCTATTTTTTCTATTACAGCTCAAGTACAGGATTTGATAGTTGAGTAAAGCGTACAGTTTCCACTCCGAGTGTTCTCCGTTCCGCACCCGTTTGCTTGATTCGTAAAACGTTACAATTTAGCAATCTCCCAATGGGAATGCGTCCTGCCAGACGCACTGCACTTGATCGATTCCCTCTTGTGCATTGCCACAAATACCGCTCCACACGAACGATTTTTCTGTTTCACCCGATGCCTCACCAGTGCTACGTCTCTTCCAACCTGATTGACTACCCCTAGCTCCGTACTCCTCATGGAACGGTCATCGAAATTAGACTCCCTCGTGGAAGAAGTTGACCTTATGAACTGGAATCCACATTACGCCTTGATAAACCGTCCTATTAGAAGAACGGAAAATGTCTCCATTCACCGTTTGGCCCCGTGGGGTGATCCACCGATGTCGATACCTGAACTGTTAGCACCAACAGACCCTCACCCCGCATCGCTTCACATTGTCCGTTCGACAGAATCCAACAACTTACCCAAATCTCCTAGTCCCGATGAAGAATGCAAACCCACTCCACCGACAAAACTCACATATACCAATATACTAAAACAACAGCAGAGAACCGGCCCTTGCAATCTACGAAATAGAGAAGAGCAAACCAGAACTTACTGCACTGTCCCCCCCCCCACCACCACCACGAAACGCATACTCGAAGTGTTTCACGTTCCATAGACGGTCGTTTTCCAGTGGGGGAAGGGATGAATGTCATATTCTGGTTCTCTTGTTTATACACCCTTTTTGGTCGCATATTACACAA